GTCATCCTTGTAGGCGGATTTACCGTAGTTTAAGTTGCTTTAAGCCCCAGGAAGCCCCTCTCACATCCATATTTACGATTTGCTTTCGATCGTGATACATCCTTTTCCCCCTATTCCCTTTATAAGCCTTCCTTTGTATTTTTTATTGAGCTATAACTTTAGTTTCTTTGAGTCCGTATAACTTTTAGATTAAAAATGTTTCGATCCCTGCTAGACTTTTTCCACCAAACTTAGACGTTTTTACTTCATTGAGAAAAACTTAACTTTCCATCCAATTTTTCATGAAATGAACAAGGAAAACCATATAAATTAATAGAGGAAACAGTCCTTTCTTTTCGCCAAATTCCAAAACGCAAGAACACTTAAATGTCTCAATCCATCAGAGGTCGAATTCATAATCAATCATTCCCTAATAAAAAACCCCTAATTTTGACCTTATCACTACAAACATACATCGAAATCTTCATAAGAAACAATTTTCCTTACCACCATCACTCACTCCTTAGAACCTACTTTCCAACCCAATATAAATTAAGAACCAAGACCCCCAAACCTTAAAACCTCAGCACGCTACGTCATATCACACCACCCGTTTGTTGACATTACTTGGTAAAATCCCATCTTTGAAAGCTTCAATGTCTTTCCACCAATTCGGGTTCAGGCGATATACATACCATTCAACAGTGCCGCAGATTTGCAGACATCATTGCACATCCTTGATCCGAAGGAACCGATGAGGTGCTTTCCTAGACGTGTGCCGAGCTATTGACCGAGTGTGTCACCCTGGTTTGCTCTGGAAGATTAACGTCATCCATCCATTCACTTATAACCTCATTCTGAAATCTTATCTGCCCAATAGGTACTTGGGCTAATCAACTTTACTTATGATGGTGTTCCGCAAGGCAATCCTTCGTCCCATTCTATTTTCAGTATACACTGTGTCGGGATTGCTTGGAACACACATTCCTGTCGATATCGATACTCTACTCCTCACATTTTAAGACAATACTGCCATCATTTCCTCAAATCCTGACCCAGTAGTCCTTCAGGCAAAATGCTTTCTTGTACCACTACACTCGACTTAAATGACTGAAAGAACAATCTTGTCACAGAGAATTGAAATGTTGAATTCGACGAAGCGTTCCAACATTCAAACAATCAAGTGGCTCTAGTACAAAATGGTTCAAATTATTGCCTAGTATTCTTACTTCGTATCTAATCATATTATCCGCAATGACTTTCAAACGTACGGAAGTAAAATTATTTATTTTCATACATCTTACAATTATTTATTCCGTATTAGTAAAAAATATCAAATAAAAATAAAATTTGTTTACATTTCTTTTTTTATCGAAACAACGGGGTTTACCAGGAATACAATTGGTGATCATCCGCGGTCCGTCCGTCCTCGCTAGTCAGAGCTCATAAGAGGCAGGCAAATCATAAATATAGTCAAACTTCTTCCATTAAGGCTGACAGTTCGTTTTCAGAGATGTTATATAGGCATTCCTATGGGCTCTGTGAACCTAGCGGACGGTGCGATGATTGAAAAGGCGTTGGTGATTGATTATCAGTCGAGATCTGAGATTTATATACCACAAGCCGGTGGAACTGCATACGGAACAGTTTCGACCTGTAAAACTTTTTAAAGAGAAATATTTTGTCATTCTTGGATAATTTTTTAACAAAAACAATAATTTTACGTTTTATAAGAAAAGACAGTCTGTAATATAGTGAAATATTAGAAGTTAACCTTTGAATACATTTTCCCATCGATGACTTGAAAACCGGAATCTATCGTATTATCCTGGATGATCTTCGATCGCCGATAAACCGGATTAGACGCTTAGAAAACAGACACAGGGTTCAGTTTAAAAAAATATCATATACATCACTAGGAACATCGATTGTCTAAAATGAATAACCAAGTTTAAGATTAGTACTTCCTTTACTTTCGAGAACTAAGAAGTTCGGGTGCTTTCTTAGACAGATACATTTTACAGGGTCTTTTACTTGGTAGTTCTCTTCAAACAGAAAAATACCATTTCTAAATAACGTAAGCCTAAAATCTTATCTAACAAATCGTTGTTTCAAAGGAATTTGCATTTAAAGACAAGACAGATCCGAACCGGTGTCCTGTCCCGCAAGGTAACATTCTAGGCCCTATCCTACTGACTATTTATAACACAACCTTTTCACCTTATTATTCTCAAACAAAGAGTAAACTTTGCCTTCAACGTCAATTTTTTGGTAGATTCGGTGTTAGATTTTGTGTACAACCCAAAATATCACTACACAATTTGCGTCAAGGCAAAGGGAGCATTCTTGCTCCCATCCTATTCCTTGTTTACACTTCTGACTACTCATTCTAATATTACTATCTAATGATTAAATCATGTAGAAAAGCTGTGCGCTCCATGTTTTCTGTTAGGGGATTCGATTATTTTCTCTATGCTAAATATCACGTTCTACTCTGCGGGGTCGCACAAGAGGGCATTCTTGGCAATACCCTATTCACTATTTACACTACTGGCCTGCTCGTTCTATTAGTCATACCCAGAGATCAAACTTTACACTAAAGAGGTATTTACGATGTTTGTAAGATAACTCGAATAGAGAAATGTCCGTGAAACCCCCCTTCTTTTCTTAGCATGTTAAACATGTTAGCATGGTTTATGAGGAATTGCAAAATATATACCAACCTGCTAAAGTAATGCATTTACACAATTGTTTTTAAAATATTAATACATATATGTACATATGTATGTACAAATGTGAATAGAGTTATTTAACTATAGTATCGTTGTAGTATGTAATCTGGTATCTTTTTGGCTCATATTTCTTAACTTTATGGCGCTTATTAAATTGTTTGATTATTGTCTTTTTATTTTTCACAATTCGCGATATTTTGCGACGAGACGTCCCCATTTCATTTGCGAGACTGCTCGGCCAATCTCCCAATTCGATCCGAGAAATTATCGCGAATTTTCCTCAAATAAGTAAATATTAATTTTGAATAGAAATAACAAAGAAATTAAAATAAACGAAAAGGGCAACTCAACAATTTATGAAGGGGACCGCGGTAGCCGAGTGGTTAGCATGAGAGACTCACGCCGCGGTCGTGGGTTCGATTCCCACCGTCGCCTCTGGCCCTTTTTTCACAATAACCCCCCCAAATTTGATCACACATATATGAATTGTCACATGGCTAATATGCATAGTTCATAACGCCAAAAAAAAAAATTTATGAATTCTAATTAATAAAAATAAAATCAGGGTAAAGAAAAAATAAAATGGAACTCTTCCCTGGATCATACCAGTTTTCCCTCTCGAGTCTAGGGCTAACATCCTTATGCTCATGTCGCCGGAACAACTTAAACTGATACGGCTTACTCTGCAAAGCGGACGACAACCCATCGACGAGAACATAATCATCACTTAAATACACAAAACTCTACGACGATTTTGACGAAAGATAATAGGGGTATTCACGACGTATGTAAAATTATAACTCGAATAGAGAAATGTCCAGTAAGATCGTGAAGCCCCCTTTCTTTTCTTAGCATGTTAAATGTTAATTTTTCCGCAATGCTGAACGTGGCGATTGGTATAACCAAAAATAAAGCTATAACAGTCCTTGAAGGCTTGTTATTGTTGGCTTTGGTTTTCTTTTGTGTTAAATTGTAAAATGCCAGTAGTTAATAAAAAGGAAAATTAATAAACTCTTTCATTCAAAATGCCATCTATGCACTTAAGTACTAACAAATAACCCGCTTCAATTCGTGCCGATATACCTAACTTGTTTCCTAAGATTTAACAGCCTACAACTTTATAGGATAGGGGATGTATCTATTATGAATGAGAGTAGAAAGACAGGTCAGAAATTAACAAAATGAATATATTGGTCTGATTTAATTAACGTGTTTTTAAGAATAAAAATACATGTAAACAAAAAACAGCTGTTGAATTCATGGCTGCCATGTTGGTTACCTACGCTCTAACGGCTAGCAATGTGACTACATTTTCGACCTAACAACTAACACTGGCCCTGGCCTGTTAGATCGAGCAATGTTAACTAGCCGATTCTTACAAGTCAACATTTTTATCGATCTAACAGGACCTGACAAACTTATCAGGGCTAACACAAAGATCGTGAATACCCCTTAAATGTCCGTTTTTTTAGGGGATTCAAATATTTTGTCTATTTCATTTAATACAGCGATCCACTAAGCCAAACATTCCAGACTAATCTTTCAACCCCCTATTGTTCAAGCTCTTTTTTATAACGGCTATCCCACGAACCCTCCAGGTCGACTCGAAATACGAGGGAAAGCCTACGTCCTTCAGGTGTTGGCTTGGGATTGGCATCCCTTAAACCAGTAGTAGTCTTCTACTATAAAATGAATTTTTCTATTCTTGGTCAAACGGTTTCGTTATATTTCTTCCCCAGCCATTATAAAAGGTGTCATTAACACTCTGCTGACTGGTGTTTATCGCCGGTGAATACTACCGGATTTTGACAATCGGGGCTCTTCGCTTTGGATTTGCTATTCACAAACGGACGGATCCGTCAAATCCGCGGTCGACGAGATTCGGCAGAAGTGCGATGTATTACAAGGGAACATTTGACCTATATCCAATTCCACAGATATTAGTTTTAACGAGAGTTAGGATTAACAACAAAAAATTCCAAAGGAAAAAAATTACTATTAAAAAATATAAGGAAGTTTATGCACGTGTAAAACTGCATATAAAAATCATTACACATTCAACATATGTGAACATACTTACTTAATACAATATTTGTATTTGTATATATCAAATAAATGCAATAAAAAAGTTTATGCACAATAAAATAATATTTAGGCCAACAGCCATATTGAATAAGTAATCAACTCTGAACGAAACTTCGATTTTATTTTATCACTAAAAACCAGTTTCTCTACTTTTACTAAACCCAAAAACCAACAACAATAACCAAATAGAAAAGAGAAACTTACAATATTCTCAGGTTTGTCATCCCCTCGAAGTCGTTTTCGTATATGACAGTTAGGTTGTTGCCTTGTAAATCCCTGAAACATAAAAAATATTATACATGTAACATAAGAATGATAATGAATTTAAAACAGAAGATCTACACGATAAAAGAGAAAATATCGTTTTTCAACGGTCGGCGTTTATCGTCAACGCCGCCCGTAAAAAAAAATCCAGGCGAGTCATGCCACTAGGAAGTCGGCGATTAAGGTCCTTCCAGTCAAGCCAAGGGTCGCCCTTTATTTTCAAGTACAAAAAATTCATAAAATAAAGGGGGTTGAAACCATAAACCAAAACACATTAAAGAAGCTTGTCATTTTTACATAAAAGTTAATCGCCTCGTAGTTAGTCAAAGTGTTTTAATAATAGACAGAATATTATGTACCCAATAAACAGATGAAACAGAAGATTACAGGAATTAAGGACATAATACAGTTCAAGTGTTATGTAATGTGCAACATGTGTTGCTCATGCAAACTTATCTGGTAGCAACGTAGTATATTTGGCCCTTTCCTTCATTTACCTACATACATGATTTGGCCCGGCAATATTGTTATAGTCCAGGTTGCAGATTGCTGTTCTTAAACCTGGTTCTACATCAAACCATCAAAATGTACTAAACAAGCAATCGACACATACTTTCCATTTCAACTAGTCTCAGAATCCAAATGAATATGTTTGAACAACTAAATGACCTTGAAAAATTATAGAAATCCGGTAAAACTTTAAGAGTTTGAAACTTAATTACAAAGTGCCGACTGTTCTGAATAAGAAATATCTATCAAAATTAAAATAATTCTTTCTTCAACAACATAGGTTAAGATAAAGTAAAAACCGGCTGTTCGTCCGAAAAACGGTCACTATACCCTTAAAAGAACCTTCGTCAAAAAAAGCAACATTGCTACAGCTAAAAGGGTAAAACTTAGAAAATGATATGACTAAACATCGGTCACTGCCATCTGAGAAACTACGAACACAACAAAATGATAACCCCATTTGGAGGTTATGAAACGACGAGGAAGATCCTGCCACCCAAGAATCTTCATCAAAACTGGCAATAACTATGATACATTGAGGGTAAAACTAAGGTAACAGAGCTATACACCGGTCACTATTATCTGAGAAACCACCTATAGCTTAGGAATATTCAATGATAAGCCTGTTTGCAGGTTATGCAATTAGGAGGAAGAACCTGTTACCCAAGAACCTTTACCAAAACTTGCAAACACATTTGTACACTTAGGGTACAACTGAGGAGAGTGATAGGTCTACATATGGGTCTCTGCCATCTGAGAAAACACGAACACTACAAAATGTTAATCCCGTTTGGAGGTTATGAAATGACGAGGAAGATCCTGCCACCTAAGGAAACTTCAACAAAACTGGCAATAACTTTGATACAGTGAGGGTAAAACTAACGTAACAGACCTATACACCGGTCACTATTATGTGAGAAACCACCTACACATAGGTTATATTCAACTGTTTGCAGGTTATGCAATTAGGAGGAAGAACCTGCCACCCAAGAACCATCATCAAAACTTGCAATCACATTTCGACACTGAGGGTACAACTGAGGAGAGTGATAGGTCTATATATCGGTCACTGCCATTTGAGAAAACATCTACACAACATGGGTATATTCAATGATGACCTCATTTTTAGGATATACAATGAAGAGCAAGAACCTGCACCGAAGAAACTTCACTTGAAATGGCAATCACATTCCTACACTCAGGGTAAATTTCATGAGAGTGATAGGGGTATATATCAGTTACAGTCATTGGAGAAAACACCTACAGTATGGGTATATTCAATGATAACCTGTTAGGAGGCTATGCAATTAGAAGGAAGAGCATGTCAACCAAAAACCTTAACTAAAACTTGCAATCACATCAGTGTGGGTACAACTCAGGTAATAGGGCCATACACTGGTCACTGGTATATGAGAAAACTCCAACAACATGGGTATATTCAATGATAATCCCATCTGTAAATTATGCAATGACAAGGAAGAACCCATGTTATCTTCGAAGTAACTAATGAAGACAACCTAGGGTGCCAAGAACATCCTGAAATAGAAATTGCAATGACAGTCTATGACCTACTGCTTCTTGAAAGAAGGATCTGAACTAAGCTGCACAAAAGAAATAGGAAAAGTTTAATAACCCAAAAGTCTGGACGGTTTGGGAAATAGACAAATCCTATTTATTCCTGGTATCATCACCCTCAACAGTATTCTTGTAACAAAACAAGTTTATCAACCGTTTTCCTTTAAAAACTAAACATATAATTATGCAAATCTGAGAATTATTGTTGTACTAAAAGAGAAATGTCAAACTACAAAAACCGTTTAGTGTTAATTCCAAGTCGTCGCTCACAGGAGTCTTGATGATGGCATTATTGCAGACTTCGACGGTGGGAACCGAACATTGTTTTGAAAGGAATTCACTCAATGAGGGTCTTGTAGAGCCATTGACAAGTTAGAGTAGGGGCTGCTTGATCGTGACAAAACATTCGCTTCCTATTACATCCTCGTCACACACTCTACATTCATCTTACAGCTCCCCTCGTTGCCAGACGAATAAAAAAAAGTTCGATTTCATTTTTTATATTCAATTCGTTTGATCGTTTAGTAATTCTAAGAGTTATGGTTTTTCTGTACTGTCTTGAAATTGACATTGACATTAACAAATTAGTGTAAATATTCAAGGTACATTACGCCCTCATTATATTCAATCATGTCTGCTCAATATAAAATTCATTTGGGAAAAAACCTCGACTCAAGTAAAATAATGAACTATAAGTAAGTTTAAAACGAACTAATTTAACTCAATTTATTTTTAAATGTATCAAAGGAAAGCCCTGGGGACCGCGGTAGCCGAGTGGTTATCATGAGAGACTCTCACGCCGCGGTCGTGGGTTCGATTCCCACCGTCGCCTCTGGCCCTTTTTTCCCGATAACCCCCAATTTGAACAATATATATCAGAATTCGTCATGGCTAATATGCAAAGATCATAAGGCCAATAAAAAAAAATAATAAAAAAATAGGAAAGCCCTATGATAATTATGCTAATTATGTCAATACTCCATTAGTTCTTGTGAAAATGAGTTTGCTGCTCCTTCTGCTCCAGTGTGCCATGGCTATTGAATTAACGGTAATTCTAAATCCAACAAGAGACAAAAGGTTACCAATTTTAGAAACCAACAGCGTTGAAAATGAGCAAGAGAGGGGTGGTGCACAGAGTACATACATAACACAAATATTAAGGTCAGTTTACTTGGGCAAAAACTGAACAAATGTGATTCAATGGACTCCAAAGTGAAATTCCCTTCTGATTTTTAAGTGCTGAGTTGTTAGATCTGAGTCGTCTGGACAGAAATAAACGCGCTACAAGTACGATCTTTCAAACAGCTGTATCATATTCACTTCAACACTCATGCAAGATCATTAATCAAACTATGCGATAAATTCACACAGGCAAAACTCTTACAAACAAACACCAAAAGTACAAATTTCTCAGCGGGTTCTCGAGGTGATAAGGACCTGGAAGGCTTGGGCAGTAAGGTTAGAATTGATCGAAAGCTTTGGAATGGGATTGGAGCAATTCGTTCACGAAAGGATGAGTTCGTTGTGAATGAGGTTAGACTCGTTGTAATGGCTTTGATTATTTGCCTAAGGATTGATTTTTGACTATTGGATGGTTTGTTGAAACCCCACTACTCAGTATGTCCAAAGTGGTTGCAGTAATATCTTGTATGGAGTTAGTTTAGTTTTGTCTGTCAAAAATGTTTTCGGACCTAAATGTATTCGTAGTTGTCCAAGTCTGTTAAGTTATTTCTTAAGTTTTCACAGTCTTGAAGAGCACCCATCAGTCTGGTAGGTATAGCTGATATACCTCATTTGAGTGGAAGTTGGAAGCTCCTTGTTGCTGATGCAGAGTAGAGCGTACGTTATGTAAATACTAATGTACACTGGGTACATTTTTCCTCTTCAGCCTACACTTTGTGCACCATCTTTGATCAATTTAAAGTGTTCTTGTGTGTCGGAGGTTGCTTGAGTCGGGGTAGAAGACAAACTTTCCTTATCATCCAAGTGTTAGGGTATGTAGAAAAGCAGAATGAATGGTATACAAGATGGGACCAAAAATACATCCTTGTCGGACGCCGGGCTTGGTATGATATTTGAGCAATCGTTGCCGCCCCTCGTACTAAAGCAGCAGTCAGTTGAATAGGATTCTTGGATGTCTAATGGAAGCTCCTTGATGTTCATGGTTCCAGTTAACTACCAGAATTACCAATCCCATAGACGTCCGTTTCATGAAAATGCAAGAAATGCGGAAGCGTAATTCAACAGCTTCCGGTATTAAAATTAAATCATTGGAATTCCTGGATCATCAGTCTCCTTCTCTGTTAGAAGAACGCTGATGGAGTCGAACCTTAGGTCAAGAGGGCCCTTGAAAGGGCTCCTCGGAGAACACCATAGGACGATTTGCAAGGGGACACCAATCATGGACCATAGAGGGATAGAAAAAATCCCTGCTCACCGAAGAGACTAAACGAGTCTGGAGAAGACCTGGAGAAAAGTAAAATCAATGCATCACGTTGGAAACAGTGATCTTAGGAGGTGGGTCTGTTATTTTTTAACAGGCATGTACGAAGTACCTATCGGACGGCCTTCAAAGGGCCTTGTTGACAACACTACAAAATCATGTAGTGCCATGTAGTCGACCTCATAAAGCGATGCTTCTGAGTACCTGAACACAACAGTCAGCCAAACCTTTGAATGTTCAGCAAGTCCGAACATTCATCCAATTATTATTAACTACTTCACTTTTCCTAGTTTCTTGAGTTCATTTCAATCGACAGTAGGGAGCTAAGGAGCTTGATGAATTCTTCTGAGGACTTTTGATTGGAATGCTAGGAAGGCGGTAGTGAGTAGCAGAATGGTTTAGATGGGTTAGAAGATTGGAGTGAAACTTGATGAACCTAGAACGGAACAATTTTTCACTAAGGGTCTAAGGTCATTGTGAATAA